TTTTTCCCTACCTGAGCATGGCCTGTGTTTTTGCCTTCATCTTGAGTTTTGGTTTAGGACCAGGTAGGTGGCTAAAGCAGGAACCTTTCTCCTCCATGTCCAGTCGTTTCACTGATTTATTGGGGTTTTTTGGTGAAGGTGGCGTGACTAACATCTTGACCGCTGAGCTGTTCACTCAAACTGCACGTCCTGCTGCGTTCATGATCTCAGGATCAATAAACTGGCTCAGCTTCTTCTTCATCGGCTTGATCTTCCCTTTCATTGTGGTCAGTTTTCATATTTATTAGAAAGCAAGTCTTTGTTTTAAAATGTTTTGGCTGAAAGGTATAAATCCAGAATTAGTGTGTGAATGTTTGTTTCTTTCATTTTCACAGCTCGGGTTCCAGCAGTACTGTTTCCTGGTCTTCCTGATGGTCTGCTCTTTGGTGGCAATCTACATTTTCTTTGTTGTTCCTGAAACAAAGAACAAAACATTTGTGGAAATTCAGAAAGATTTCCAGTCCTTCAACAAGAGAAAGTCCCGTGGTTCTGATGGAGCGTCGTCAATACTCTTGTCCACACCTCTGTGAAACACCTGTCTCCTCTGCTTCCAAACACATTTTTAGTCATAAACGTTTATGAAACTCAAATGCAGGGTATCGCATACAGTGAGCAACATAAGTATTTGCACACCCGGCAATTTTGCAAGTTCTCCCACTTAGAAATCATGGAGGAATCTGAAATTCAGATTGTAGGAGCATTCCCACTGTGAAAGTAAACATTTTAAAAAAGGAAAATAGCATGGTATGGTTTTTAAAGAATGCATTTGTATTGCACTACTGCACACAAGTATTTGAACACCTGAGGAAATCTGTGGTAATATTTGGTGCAGAAGTCTTTGTTTGCAATTGTAGATGTCAAATGTTTCTGGTAGGTCTTGACCAGGTTTGCACACAATGCAACAGGGATTCTGGCCCGCTCCTCCACAGATCTCCTCTAGATCCAGAACCTTGATATGCTTCTTATGGAGCCACAACTTGGTTATCCTGGCTGTGTGCTGCTGACCCAGCCACGACCCGTCTTCAGTGCTCTTACTGAGGGAAGGAGGTTGTTGCTCAAAAAAAAAAAAAAAACATGGTGGCCCCATTCATCCTCTCCTTACTACAGTGCAGTAATCATGTCCCCTTGGCAGAAAAGCACCCCCAAAGCATGATGTTTCCACCCCATGCTTCACAGTAAGGATGGCGTTCTTGGTATGCCACTCATTCTTCTGTTTCCTTCTAACACAGCAAGAAGAGTTTAGACCAAAAAGTTCTATTTCTGTCTCATCTGACTACATGCCTTTCTCCCACGCCTCCTCTGGATCATCTAGATGGTCATTGGCAAACTTTAGACGGGCATGGACATGTGATGGCTTAAGCAGAGGAACTATTTGCGCAATGCATGATGTTAAACCATGATGGCATAGCGTTCTGCCAACAGTGACCTTTGAAACTGTAGTCCCAGTTTTTTATTTTTTATTTTTTGTGTGTAAATGACCAACTCCTATCGTGTAGCTCTCGGCTGATTAACACACCACCAGGTGAGCTCTTGCATGGAGCCCCAATGGACGGAGACTGACAGTCGTCTTTAGCCTCTTCCATAACATTTGCTCCAACAGTTGGTCTATTTTCACCAAGCTGCTGGGCAATTGCCCCGTAGTGCTTTCCAGCCATGTGGGCTCACAATTTTGTCTCTGGTGTCTTTTGACAGCTCTTTGGTCTTGTCCATGGTTGAGTCTGACCGACTGTGTGGTGGACAGGTGTCTTTAACAAGCTCAGACAGGTGCTAATAATTCATATTATTAATTGGAGCAGAGGTGGACTTTTTAAAAGGCATGGTAACAAGTCTTTGAGAGCCAGAATTCATACTGACTGCCAGGTGTTCAAATACTGATGTGCAGCAGTACAATGCAAATAAATTATTTAAAAATCATACAATGTGATTGCCTGGATTTTTTCAAATGCTGTCTCTCACAGTGGGAATGCACTTACAATGTGAATTTCAGACCTAAGTGGGAGAACTTGCTAAATCGCTGGGTGTTCAAATACTTGTGTTCCTCACTGTATACCATTCTGTAATAACAAAACAACTTAAAAACCCAAGAAATATACACAACAGCTGTAAGCAGTAATGTTCCTGGATGTGTCTTTTCTTGCACTCTCTGAGTGTTTTAACCCTCTCAGGCTCAAAATAAGTTTTGATAAAAGCACGAACAACTAAGTCCTTCAGGGGTACTTCTGAGTTAAAAAATGCTCATGAGATACGTGTGTGGAGTAATCAGGTAGGTAGGTTTTAACGTTGCAAATCTGCAACGCTTGCCTACAGAGGGTTAATTATTGCTTTGTACTACCTCTAAAAAGGGTCCATAAATAAAGTTCAGTTATTAAAAGATGTTGCCTCACTGGTGTGAACAAGTTCAAAGTGAATCCTGCTGGCCTGATTTTAGAGTTTAATCCGTCAGAGTTGCGTGCGACCAGGAGAACAAAGAGTGTAAAGATCTTTTTGGAGGAGAAAGCTCATTATTAGAAGCACATAAGTTCCTTCATTAATAATCAGCCAGGCCTGGATATCTATGCACACGGTCCGTTTGTTGAACATGTTTTTAATTACAAGTGCAAAAATTTAAAGCCAAATATATCTTTAGGATGCATACAATCAATTTAAAGAGTGTAAAACTAAAAACCTGAGTAGTAATTTATTGTTTAGTAGGTGTAGTAATTTAAGTAAATTAGTAGGAGTAGTAATTTATTCCAAATGTGGCAATTCAGAATCAGACTGCTTGTTTTTGGCTGTAAAAGGTAATTAAATACTTCACAAGATGTAGTTTTTGTAGTTTTTTGCTATTCATACAGTAAATCTTAAAAAGATCGGTCAGATCATATGAAAATGATAAACCTGAGTGGGTAGGAGGTTTCTACAAGTGGTGGCAGCAGCGTTCTTGACTGGGTCATTTAACAAGACCTCAGAGATTGGGAGTATGCCTGAGAATGCAGCATTTGTTTGGGGCATGTTGACAGTAAAGACTAAGTCAGAAGAAGTTGCATCGTTAGATCTAGACAGGGTACCGAGAGAGGAGCTGTGGTTGTGTGAGGAGGTATAAATTGGCAGAGACGTATATCAGGGTGGTGCAGGACACGTGCGAGGCCTGCAGACAGCAGTGAGATGTGCTGCAGGAGGAACAGAGGAGGTCGAGGCGGAGGTGGGACTGCATGTTAGAGTAGCCATAAGTTGCAATACTTCATAATAATATTATTCAAGTAAAAGTAAAAAGTGCATTTCAGAAAACTAGGAACTGGTCCTGGTAATTGTAACTGAGTGAATGTCACCTACCTCTGCCTGTTAAACTGTACAGTGTGTACAGAAAGTATTCAGACCCCCATCAGTTTTTCACTCTGTTATATTGCCGCCATTTGCTAAAATCAATTAAATGCATTTTCCCTCATTAATGCGCACACTGCACCCCAACACAGAATTTTAGAAATATGTGTAGATTTATTTAAAAAGAATAACTGAAATATCACATGGTCCGAAGTATTCAGACCCTTTGCTCGGTATTTAGAAGCACCCTTTTGAGTTAATCCAGCCATGAGTCTTCTTGGTACACATTTCTTACACCTGGATTTGGGCATCCTCTGCCATTCCTCTTTGCAGATCCTCTCTTCTTGCAGAGCTCAGCCACAGTGATCTTTGGGTTCTTCTTTACCTCTCTCACCAAGGTCTTCTCCCCTGGGAGTTCGGTTTGGCTGGACAGCCTGCTCTGGGAGAAGCAAACATCTTTCATTTAAGGAATTGTGGAGGCCGCTGTGCTCTTAGGAACCTTCAGTGCAGCAGAGATGTTTTTGTAACCTTGGCCAGATCTATGCCTTGCCACAGTGCTGTCTCTCAGCTCTTCAGCCAGTTCCTTTGACCTCACGATTCTCATTTGCTCTGACATACATTGTGAGCTGTAAGGTCTTACAGGTATATAGACAGGTGGGTGGCTGTCACTGCATGCGTGATTCATCATCATTCTGGATGTTGTGGCGTTAACGAGCCTCTGACTAAGCCGTTTTACTCTGTCTCTCACTGCTGTGAGGAGCACACACACACACACACACACACACACACACACACACACACACACTGCTACCAGACACAGCAAAGCAGGATGCAAAATCAGAGTAAGAGAGTCTCCAAAAGCAAAACTGCTCAGGCCACCTATGTTTAATAATGGAGACACAGCATACTTCTCTGCATTATCTTGCCCCGCCTACATGCTTGGAGATGCACTCATGACATCACAGTCCACAGACCGCCAAATGTGCTCAATCACGTCCACATTCCTAAGGCAGTGTGGAACGAATGCGGCCAGGCTGGGGCAGATGGATTGGAGTGGAGTGGAGCCGATGCTAGTGTGTAAGTGGCATTAAACATCTATGACATACAAACAATAAAAACATAACGCTTGTAGTTTTTTTTTAAAGGATTTTCTTTAAGGTTATGGGCTGTTTACATGTGCCCCCCACTGTGCCACCCCCAAAAAGAATTTCTAGACACACCCCTGACTACTGGACAACCTGCTCTACCTCCTGAGCTGCTGCTGCCCTTCTGAGCTAGCCTAGTGAACTACACCAAATTCTTGCTTTGCAAAGAAAATATACATAATAATACATTTATTTAGTCTGGCTTGCCAGGCTACTTCTGAGCTACTGCTGCTCATTGGAAAATAATAAAATTGCCTCTAAAAATCAACATCCTGCTGGAGAAGAAAATTCCACTTTTCTGCAATTTGGGCTGCAAAAAATTCACTCTGAGGACCACAATCGGCCCCTGAGCCGCACTTTAGACATGCCTGCCTTAAGATGAAGAATAACATAAAAATCGACTAAATCTTTTCTTATTCCACATATTTCATTTAAATGGCCTCTAAAAAAAACTAGACACTCAGTTCTGGGCCAACACACATGTGGCCCTGTCTGACTGTGAGCAGATTACTGGGA